ATTAAGCAATAAAAAAAAAATATATAAAAATGCTTTTCAGGACTTGATCCCTTGTCAAATTAATGGAATTTCTGCCAGCAAGCACCAACAACGATTTCTTTTAAGTAACTCACTTCTTGCAGAGGAGCTATTTAAAGTAACTGAGATGTCTGGTTTAGAAGTATAACTATGACCAAATGAAAAAGATTGCAATAAAATGCCCCTTCAGATGTATGCAAGTGTCAGAATAAAACATTTACCAGCACTCCTTTAGGAAGCTGTGTGTGAAATTTTTGTCAAAACCTATTTTGGACAGGAGAAAAATAACCTACTCACTTTTACCTAATTCGTTTGGAAAATAATATTGATCCTACAGGCTTTAATTAACCACCTGATCACATAGTTGGGTTCATGCAGTCAGTGGCATAGTTGGGTTTATGCAGTCAATGGCAGTATTAATCTACACACCAGAGTTTGGAGGACTAGGCCATAACAAAGCCAAAAATGATGTGACAGCTAAATTATTTATCATTAGGTATGTTTGCAGTTGACCTATTATGCATTTACACTCACCTACATGCCGTGATTTACAGGGGACTATATAATTGATTTGATATGGGATCCAACTCTTCTCTCATCAAAGGCTGTTTTACAGCCTGGTAGCAGATATGGCTAAGGCCTTTGCCCTATATTAGTATCCAGTAGCACAAACCCTTGTAAAATTGAGCTGAAGTCAAGAGCAAAGTGCACAGTAATGGGGACATGGTATGATGCTTAAAATGAATAAATCCTTTGGATTTTGTCATGGTGGCCTCACAGGGCATCTTCCAGAGGTTTAAGCTTCTCATTAGGAAGCTGGGGGACTGTGGCGTAGACACCCATACAGTCCAATGGGTTGCCAACTGGTTAGAGAGTCGCACGCAGAGGGTGGTAGTGGATGGGTCCTTCTCGACCTGGAAGGATGTGGGAAGTGGGGTCCCACAGGGCTCGGTCTTTGGGCCCGCACTGTTCAATATCTTCATCAGTGATTAGGACGAGGGGGTGCAAAGCACCCTGTTCAAGAAACTATGAAACTATGAAGTAATAGGGTGGCCATTCCTAGGAATATTACTATACATTGCGCATGCTTTAAAATAATACTCATCTAATACAATAAGGACAGATGTTGATTCTCTTTCTTATATTAGATAGCTTTAGTCAGTAGCTTTAGTCCGAGTTGTACTACTGAAGAAAGTGGGTGCATCTCCATGTGAAATTAGGGAAGCACAATAAACTCCAGGGCAGTTCGGGCTGAAGTTTATTGCTCTTGGGCGCAGCATTTACATGTGCCCAGGACGGTAGGACACTGACCCAGGGCGGTGCAGTTCCAGCTGGAAGAGGCTCCGGGGATCAGCCTGCCACCCTGGATCTTCTTTGCCCTGGCTCAACATGCTGCCAAGGGGCTGGCTGGGGCACGAGGGTGCTACAGTATGCGGCTAGCTGGCAGGCAGCCCCTGCACTGAAGCACCCTTGTATCCTGTCACCCCATCACCGACTACATATGCGTCATGGTGCAGTAAATAACTCTGCCATAGGATAGCACTTGTGTTAGGCAGTACTATCCTACTTCAGAGTTAATTGGTTAGCTCCACAAAATCGACATGTGCAGTGCTATTAGGCTGGAGTAAATTAGGCTACTCCACAATAAGTGTCTCATGTAGATGACCCCAGTGGGACTTCTTGGGGAGTTGATATAAAACTTTTGGTCCCTAACCCAGCGGAACTGGCAGTGACCCCATACTTTGGGTGCCAACACTTTTCAATATCAAGACTTTTGTAAACCTTTCCCTTGAGACTATTTTACACTTACCCCAAGCTAGGTCTGTCTACCCTGTCCCCAGGCAGAGCACAGCAATAACACAGCTACAGTGCTTCTAGTTTCAGGGCTAACACAGAGAGACAGATAGCTCAGAGTGGCTCCATACAGCATTCCCTTGTCCCATACAGACACATCCAAATGCTATATGATTAAGGGAATTTCAAAAACCACTGCAGACTTATAGAAACACTTGCTTTAATCAATACAGCACAGAACTGATGGCAAATATTATAAATCCAACATAAATCCCCAACTTCTTCTCTCATCTATACCCAGGCAATCCCACTTAAAAAAATGTTATCATCTCATTGTGAATGAAAGAATGATTTGACTATTTGACTCAAAAAGGGGTGGGGGAATTCCCATTTTTAAAACGTATCTCAGCAGCAAGTTTCAACCTACTTCACGGTCCAACATATGCACAAGATACAACAGCAGCTAAAAAAAAAGATGCTGAAAAAGATTTCTCAAGAATTACAGAGTCCCTAGGAAGTTTTGATGTTTGTTTAGTATTCATTGGACATATTCCTGAAAAATAAAAATCAGTGCACATTTTAAAAATTGCATTGCACATCTTTTTGTCACGCCGTAATTTTTAGGCCCTGAGGCATAATGAAATACTAACATTAAGATGTAAGAGTCTGAATTAAAATTTTAATAGAAAAAGCACTCATACTGGCAGATGAGTAACACATCATAGGAATGTCATCAACATCTCTTAGTAACAACTGAGCAGGCAGGAGCACAGGGTGTTTATTCATTATTTGATAATATGACACCCTGCTAATCGGATCTGAAATTTGTGTCTGTTTTACATAGTTCTCTTTTTGTTTTTCCTGGGACCATGACTCCAGCTAATCCTCACTATCCATAATACAAGCAATATGGGTGTTCATTAACTGCAAATGGGTTGTACACATTATAAGATATGAGCAACCATGTGAAGTTGTAGAGGGCTATTGATAACATCATCACCACACAGTTTACTTTTGTTGAAAAAATCCTCCCCAGAGCCTTCTGTATCTTGAGCTCTGAAAGAGGAGTAGTGCTCTGCAAATACAGCTCCTCAACTACTGTGCTCAAAATAAAACCAGATTTTCAAAACCATTCAGCAACTGCCAGGTACTATTGTTTTCAAAGGTTGTGTAACGCCTCCCAAAATCTTGCCATCTAATATAGGTACGTTATGGGGAGTTCGGGTCTTTAGAAAACCTAGCCGTTGTCCATGTAAAAACTGAGTGAAACCATTTCTAATTTTAAGTGCAAATCACAAAGTGGGAATTCCTTGCCTGATCCCATAAACCCCTTACTCAAGACAATACCAATCTGTACTGTTTCCACAGAAGCCATGGGAATACTTGCTTAAGTACTACTTGCATGGAGGACGTTTTACAGAGACCTGTTTTTCCTTATTTAGCAAATCTCATCATCATGGCAGAAATGTATTTTAATGGTAGCTACCACCATACAAAAAGAACGGACAATTGCAAGTAACATTAACTGTGTACTGAAGTTAGCAAGGCCGTACAAAAATTTGAAAAAGAGTCATGAGATCAAATATATAAGCGATCCAAAAAATGCACCATATAGCTTTGCTGAGTTTTTAATCAATAGCAAAGAATGAACAATTTTGGTGGGGATTTAAAACAGCATTCAGCAACCTACATAAAATACACTGTACTGTAACCCATTATTTTGTTTAAGAATATGTCATTTGGAAATAAAATGTTTAAAAATCCCTAAATTCAGAACTTACTTTTGGGAAGGGAACACCTTTTGATTACATAAGAAAGAAAGCAGCAGAACTGCTAAATATATATATTTTTTTACACAATTTGTGCTTTTTGAAAACTAATTGAAGCCCATAAAGATGGAAGCAGCTCTATTACTACATAGCTATACAGACGCATGCTAGCAGCACATCTCGATTCCAAATAAAACAAGGCTGTATTTTCAGGTGTGGCAATATTAACATAATATGTACAATGCGTTCATGAAATGTATGCTAGCATACAAATATACACAAGAGACATATGGAAAGCAAATCGCTTAGAAATGCAGCTTTCAAAGATCTTGGGAATCAAATTCAGGGGGCCTTTTTATGTCCGAAAACCTGATTCTGCTTTTTTGACAAATATAAAGACTTTGGAATGAGGCCCTTGTTTTCCCTTGCCAAAGGAAAGCTCCTACAACTGAACTTGTTTAAGGAAAGAGTGCCAGCTACTGGCTAGAGGATATACACACAAGATCAGATTTTTTCCCCTTTTGGACAGCAGGTTTGATATCAAATACTTGTGGCTAAAACTGCATCTCTAAGTAATTGCTTTCAGCTCTAGTCACTAATCCTAGAATCACTGAAACAAGAAGACAATAGGAAAAATTAAATAGCACATGGAATGCAGTTCTTTAGTGTTTTACATGATATATATTTTTTCTCACTAAGATATAGCATGTTACTTTACAAAGTAACCTTTTTGTTTTTGTTTGTTTTTCTTATTACACTCCAACCTCTACAAAGCCAAGGCCATTATATATTAGGAAATATTGGATGCAAGGTATATACAAAGTAACAAAAGCATACAAGAAAGAGAAAGTTATACTGAGAAACATGTAATATAACTAAGACACGTGGAGAAGAACAAGTATGTATATACATATGTAACACTGAGTAGCTGCGGTTTTGGTCAGACTGAGTGACATCTCTTGCATGACAGAACATTACACCTTCTGGTTTTATTCAATGAAAATACCTGAACAATCAGGACTCAAAAAAAAAGTCTCAAAAATCATCTGTTAATGGCAGTGACTTATTTCTCTATCCACAGATGTCAAATTCCTGACTGACTCATTCTGTAACCTACTTCTGATCATGTATGGTAAGAGCTGATTACTAGTAAAGATAACTATGGCAATTCAAAATGAATCATTCATGCTAATATTTTATGCATGGAGAGGAAAAGTTGCTGTAGAACTTCCAGTGCTTTCGACTGATCCTTTCTCCTTAGATCCAGAGTAAGCTCCAATAAATGAACCGTCTTCATTAAACATCCCGTGGTCCCCTTCTCCATAATCTACTAAACTATCAGCACTCTCTGTAGCTTTAATGTCCCCATTAATTGATTGGAGGCTGCCTTTGAGTGGCTTTTCATCACTGTCACTAGAAAATAAAGAAAAATCTTCCTAAAACCTAGCTTTGTATTACAGCTCTGGCAATTGAGCATTTAACTTTAGCAAATGAAGAGAAATGTTCAAGAAGGAGTGAGCAAAATATTTTAAAAAATAATAATAACGTAGGGAAAATTTCTGAACATGGTGCATGGAATATTATCTTGCTTGAGCCAATGGATGTTACGTAGCTGGTGCGTGGTGGTTTGGGGACTGTTTGAATTGTTGTGATTCACCGAGAAATACCCATTTGGATCTTTGCTCTTTGTTTTCCCCCCTACCTCCTTTTGCCACTGAAACTGTGGGAGAAAGATGAGGGGAGACAAAAGCAGGAAGAAAGAAGAAAAGAAGAAAAGCTGAAAACCAGCTTTGGTAATTTATTTTTCACATCATCTTTAAAGAGCGAAGCATAAAGAGTCTCATTTGGAAAGCAGAGAGCCATTTGTATAGCCTGCTGAAGGCCCCATTTATTTCACTGGTCCTCTGAAATGGTGTGGGTTTATCCAGGTTAGGTTAATACACGGGGCCGTTAGCATTTGTTGATATCCTGCTGCTTGGTGGAAGGGTACATGGATGGGACTTCATGTATGGGTTGTGATTTTAAATAACTGGCAGGGTTTTGGGAACTTGTATCTAGTCTAAGTGAAATATAAATAAATTGCATAAGGAAGCATGTATTTCTGTGAACAGGTAGAGCAGCACAATGATTCATACCCACTCACTATGGTGGTCTCTTTTCTTGGAGGGTGGCTGGACTGTGTTAGAGAGCCTGATGGACCTGCTACAACTTTGGCGAACAAAATTCGGTCTTTAGCTGAAGCAAAATGGACTCGTTCTTTAAGGTCCACAAGCCTCTGGGTCAGTCCCTCTCAGAGATGATCCAACAAAGATAATGCTGATGCTGAGAAAGTGATTTGTATGTATAAACAGCTACTGCTTAGATATCTCTGGTCCTCAAACTCCAGTCTTGATAGGCATCTACAGTTATTGCGTGTGCCATAATGCTTTGGAACTCAAGAGTCATCTCTATAATCTCAGGCCCAAGCCTACTTCTTCATATTACTGTATATGTATTTAGTACAACATTTCCTTTTCTCTGTAGTCTTCATTTGCATTAAGTTTGGCTTGGGCTGCTCTGGCTTTGCCTTACTCAACCACTCACTTATCCAGATTAGGGAGCATGGCTGTACAGCTGACCTCTAACTGCTGGGAACGTTTTGGCTGACTGCTCTCTTTTTCACTGCATCTCAGAATCAGGTAACAAAACTAGAGGCTTAAGGGAAAGGTAGCATTAAGCCTATTGTATGGTGTTGAAGGATCTGGGCCAGTCAAAAATATACACAGAAAAAAGGGACAATATTTTGAAGACCTTTCCATGAAATATATTTCTTTTTTTTTCAGCCAGTTCCCCTTTTATTAGGAACCAGTGATGCCAACTCTGTGTATCTAAGAGCTCTTTTGTTGTCTCACTGGCAAAGCATAAGGTCTTGTCTGATGGAGCCCATCTATATCATTGGTATTTGTATCTTGGTTATATCGTTACATATCCAGCTCACAACTCTGAATTTACATATGTATATGAAGAATGATTAAATGACGTGTTAAAATACACTGAGTGTTATTTGGCAAAAGTTATTTTTAATAAATGGATCCTAACAATATTAATTAAAATCTCTTATTATGCACAGCAGAATCAATAGGATGCCTAATTACCTAGAAGGATTGGAAAGAGGCAATTTATAATGGGTTCCCATGGAACTTCTAAGGCTACAACAAAAAAAACCCCCCCGAGATGTGGGAAATAATGCAGTCTCAAAGAAAATTTCTGAGTAAGATAGTCCAGTGGAAAATAGCCTGGGAACTCCAGGTAGATCTTGCAGTGAGGCTGCTATTGCGTATTTTGGAAGGCCCAGCATTTTCCTGTTTCAACAAAGCTGGGAGTTTGTCACAGAAGTTTTCCATCTGTCACATAATATAAATAATTTTACTTGAAATTCCTGTACCGTTAGAATTTGACAAAGAAGCATATATGAGTCAAAAGTTTCATACTTTAACTGGCATCCTTGAAGCCTGCTGAAACATATTCTGCTCTCAGTTATGCCAGAGTAATCATTCCAGAGTATCACCAGTGAAGTCAACAGAATAGAAGTCAGAGACAGATGAAAGTGAAAGCAAAATATGTCCATATAAATCTACAGGACATTTACTGGTACATTTGCTTGAAAGAAGTGGGACCGTTAGTTCAGATGCAAAAACTAACCCCCAATTTGTTAACACTGAGTTGGGCCTCTAAGTTAGGAACATAACCACTTGCATCGTCAATCATCATTTATTCCAAATTAATTTTGAAATTATTGGCAACTTTCTCTGAATAAGGATGGAAATAGCCAGTCCTAAATTTGAACCTTTAGTTTCAATATTTAAGATGTCTGTTACTTTCCCATAGACAGGACTTGTATTGATAGAAAATCATAAGTTGAGGGGAGAAAGTTACTAACCACATGACTTTCTTACCTTTCTAAATATTTGTCCCATTAGAAAGCATTAAAAATGAAATAAAGATGAAATTATGCAGAAAACCCCTTATCCTTCACAAAAAATGTAGTATACAAATTGGACTTAGCCAGAAACTTGTAACGTTATAGCCAATTTAATCAATTGTGCAATACTGTATTTTTATACTTAGCATAATTATATAATAGAATTAGCCTTTTTTATTTTGACTGAAGCCAAACATAATTATTTTATCCAGAAAATACTTGTACTTATTGCCATTTTCAGTTGTTAATTTTCATCCTTTTTTCATTCTTTTTTTTCCAGAATGAACACCTACTAACTCAAATCCCACTGATGCCAATAGGAGACTTTCTGATGAATTCAGTGGACTTTTGAGCAGCCACAAGACTAAAACGTAAAAGGATTTTTATATCACACATAAGATGCTTAATAAGAAGAAGGCAAAAATAAGTGCTACTCCATCAGCAATTACCTATGTCTCAACTTGGGTGGATTAAAGTGTTCTGGATATAGCTTTACATTCATATAATCATCCACTCCCAAGAGGCATGCTTTGAAAATGAAAAATAGTGTTACTTGGAGGCGCTAATAAAAATTCATTAAAAAATACTTGTGATGATATTGGAAGAAAACCCCCACATCTGTTATATTGTTATTGCAGGTTATATTTACCTATATTCCCCAAAGATTTCATCTTTTATTGATTGGGCTTCAGGATCTGGATGCAAGTCTTCTTTTTCTTTTACTGTGCAAACGAAAGAAAGCAGAAACCTTTTCAGCATGCTTGGGTTCAGTTATGTGGGAAACTGTCAGTCATCATCAGCCATTCAACCCAGAGGATAACAGCTATAGCTAAGCATTTCACAGTACAACAAGGGCTAGGTTGTCAAGGCGTGTAGAATAGCTGGCTTTCTAATTCACAATGACCACAGTCAGAGTTTCACAGAGGACCTTTCTTCACGCTTTTGAAAAGTTAGCCTGTATGATTTCTTTTAGCAAGACTCGTTTCTTTCCTGTGAAATTCAGGCTGTATCTGCAAGCATAGTGTGTTTGTCATTAAGACGTGCAACTAGTATTTAGTTGGAAATTCACATTCAAAAGAAACAAAGACCTCCAATATCCTAGTTCTTATGAGTAAGTAAAAGCCTGGATGTTACATAGGGAGGTGCTAAATCTATTTAATAACAAATATAATTGTGCGATGCTATTATAAATATGAGAAATTTCATTCTGATTTCAGCTAAAGATCTACTTGCACTACATGTATTACCAGCTACCATAACATATTTATTCTAGTGTAACTGTGGTCAAATTGGAAGAAAAAAAAAGGAGGCACACAAAGAATATAGCAAGACATGCAAAATATGAATTGCATATGCAAAATAGGCTAGGTATCTCAGTACAAAATTATCCACAGAGTGCAGCTTTAGTAACTATGGGCACATTTACACGTTCAATTAGCATGGCTGAATAAAATTTGGTGCAGTTTGCACCACAGTTTATTGCCCCGGTTGCAGCATTTACATGTGTGTCCAGGACTGCAGCATGTTGAGCCAGGGCAGCACAGCCCCAGCTGGCAGAGGGTCCCAGGGGGTGAACCTGCCAGCCTGAAGCCACTCTTCCCCAAATCAATGTGTTGTGGAGGGACAGGCTAGGGCACAAGAGTGCTACAGTATGGGACTAGCTGGCAGGCAACCCCCACACTGTAGCACCCAGCCACCCCAGTCACCATCTACACTTGCATTTGAGCTTATGCAAGTACTTCACTATAGGATAGTACTTGTGTCTGGCAGTATTATCCTACAGTGGAGTTGATTAGTTTCTTTCGGCCTAATATCTCCACACATGTAGATGGTGACACTCTACTATGGAGCAAACTAGTCAACTCTGCAGTAAAGCACATGTGTAGATTCCCCCACTATGTACTACGCCTGTACAAAGCAGCTAGTATTTCCTTCAGATTCGACTTCAGCTGATTCGGGGGACAGTGATTTGATTTGGTGATTCGAATCATTTTCTCGATTTGATTCGGCCAAATCTGATTTGGAGATTCAGCTGCTGCTGAATATTTGAATCAGCCAGGCCTATCCCCCACTAGCCTGGCAATGGCTGCCCTGCCTGCCCCAGCTTCCAAGCAGGGGACATTGGGGGTGCTGACAGGGGTCCCTTCAATGGTCTCCTCCCCCAGCCCCCCTGCCCCTAGTACTTACCAATTCAGAGTCGGCTGCAGCTCCTTGCTGCAGCCATCGGGGACTGCCCGAATCATAGATTCATAGATTCATAGATTCATAGATTAAGGGTCGGAAGGGACCTAGTAGATCTTCTAGCCCGACCCCCCGCCAGGGCGGGAGAACAACAAAAAAACCCCAAAAAGAGAAATGGGACTCAAATGAGTCCAGCCAGGTAGGCATCCAGCCTCTTCTTAAAGACCCCCAGGGTAGGGGCCAGCACCACTTCCCTTGGAAGTTGGTTCCAGCTCCTAGCCGCCCTAACTGTGAAGTAGTTCTTGCGGATGTCCAATCTATCTTTTCAAGATTTGGAGAGCTTTGAATCAATTTGACCTTTAAATTGGTCCTCTGATTTGATTTAGATTCAGAGATTTAGTCACCAAATTGGGCCAAATTGCCTCCGAATAGAATCACCACCCAAAGCTTCACACAGCCCTACTATGTACTAAATTAGGGTCCCCAGGCAACTGGATCTGCTAGCACAGAACCCTGCATTGATATAAAGAAAAACAGAATCAAAAAAATTTTAGCCCAAATACTGTGGGAAGTACCTGGTTAGAGGGTCTTGCCCCTCCACTCAGAGTCAGTCCAATATCATATTTGGGGTCAGAAAGTAATTTCATGCCGAGGTCAGATTGGCATGGACTGTGGGGGTTTTTGCCTTCCTTGGCAGCAGGGATTTGCATTCTTCCTGGGATCTCTTGAGTGTATATCAACAATCTTTACAGCAGCAGGACATTGGCTGCTGTGGTCTCCCTGCTTTATGTGTGGGCAGGTTAGGGGCTGTGCAAAGCTTTGGTTGCTGATTCAATTCAGAGGAGATTCGGCAGCCAAATCTCCAAATCTGAATTAAATCAGAGGACCACTAAAAAGGTCTGAATAATCCCAAACCTCCAAATCAATTTGGAAAAGATTTGGAGGAGATTCAGAGATTCCAGCAGTCTCTGCTCACTGCCACAGGGAGCTGGACCTGGGCTCCATGCCAGTAAGTAGGGGGTGGGGGCTAGAGGAG